TTTAAAGAAATTTGAAGGCAGGAAATTCTATCATTGACTAAATTTAAAATTAATGTGGTTACGTCTGGTGAAATGAGCTGACCAAAGGATCTGGACCTTTCCTGAGCTAGAAATAAGAGGACCATGCCGGTCGTCGGTTAGAATATTTTGGTCGCTAGTCGGTAGTCAGTAATGTTTTTCGCCCTTTGTCGTTAGTCGGTCTGAACCCCATTCAGACCCTCTACTGCTATTGCTGCTGATATTCGTAGAGTTTAACATTCAAGCAGCTGAAGTAGAGACATAGGAAGCGAGTATTTAGTTGGAAATTATTCTTCTTATTATTATCATTAAACAAGATTTGCTAGGAGTAACCGAGACTACAAATCATCTTGTCTTGTCTCAGAACGTTCTCCGGTTAATAATTTTTAAAAAGTCGCATAGCTTTTCGCCTCTAGTCTTTAAAAAAAGCTTACGCCAGCGATACAGTCACCGTCGTGACAGCATTTTCGAGAATCGCATTGTAATACAGTTTTAGAGATTAAGCGCACTTTGACTGACAAAACGTGTTTTAACAATGAAAGCAGAAAACAGTGAAAACATCTAAGTGTCTGAAGTTGGTCTTTTTTCGCGACTCTGGTTTAATATTAACCTCTTACTAACCGAGCGCGAGGGCCGTGCTGAGGAATATTGGCCCGAGGTCTTGGCAATACGGACCGAATGCAGCGAGGTCCGTACAAAAACGACCTAGGGCCAATATTCCCCAGTACGGCTCGAGCAAGCTAGGTTAGTAAAGTGGTTTACTATATGACACTCGAGCCTTGAGTTTACCGGGTTTTGGGAACCAAAAATACGCGGCTTATGACTGTTTCTATGTTTCGACTGTGTATTTGTGCATTTTGTCGGAACAAGAATAATTTGGTATTGTTATTTGAGGTAATCGCTAAGAGAGGGTAGATAACATTGACTTGTGGCCTGCAGTCCGAGGGTTTCATCCATCGGAAATCCATGCAAAAATTCAAGAGTCCCCAAACACGGTTTAGTGAAGCTGCAACACTAATATTGTGAACAGGTGTTGCTATGAACTAATAGTGTACATGTATGAATCGAGCGTGTGATTCCCCCAGACAGACTAGTGCAATGATGATCTGGGCATCAAAGTTCAAACTTTAATTTGGCTTGGGATTAAAAACAACTTTTGAATAAGTAATTCATGGCCAAAGAGCACAAGGAGAAAGGAAAACCTTTTTCATTTCCTAACCTACCTTAAAATTCCGAAAATAAGCCCCGGGGCTAATATTTTTCAAAGGCTGTTTTTGGGGGGCTTATTTTTGGAGGGGCCTATATTCGGAGGGGTTTTTATGCGGAGGGAAATTTGCGTTACAAAATCGGCTATAGGCTTATACTTGGAGGGAAATTTGTGTTTCAAAATCGATTAGGCTAGCTTACTTGAAAGTAAATTTGTGTCAGTGATTTTCACGACGTTTTTACTGAAACTCGCTGTGAGGACATGGAGCTTTCTAAGACTCAGCCAAGCAAACTTAAAACACAACCGCAAATTACTTTATTACTTCCTTGCAAGTACTTTGTCTATTGACGGAAGAAATCCAAGCCAAGAGTGAATAGTGAACTATGCAAACAGCAATAAACCGTGACACTTTGACCTCGATCATTTGGCACACGTAACAGTGCTTTGGCAAATAAACAAAATTGTGTTACTGTACCCATTTTACTTTGTTTTATTTCCTATTTGAGGACAATTTCCAAGTTTAAGCCCCCGGGTGCTTATATTTGGAGGAGCGATTTATCGGAGGGTTTTTTGTATTACGAGTTTGGGGAGTTTATATTTGGAGGGGCTTATTCATGGAGGGGCTTATTTTCGGAATTTTACGGTACTTATCTTATCCCTGACTGGTCCAATTTTGTGAATGTCAGAGGTGGCTTCAAATGACAGTCAAGGCTCGAAGGAAACAATTACATTTGTGTCACTTGTAGACACGCAATGCAACCAATTGGCCATCTATCACCACTGTCTTCTTCCCAGCTGAGCTAATTCCCTCAAATTTGCATCTAAGGTATATGCGCCATTCTGGAATATCGTCCAGATGCAACATGGAAACACGTTGACTTTCAAGGGGAACCTTAAGGGGACACCATAATTTATTTTAAACGTTACTAACTACTTATTAACCAAGAGTGAGGTCTTTTCGGGAAAATCTCAGACCGAGACCTTGCCGTAATGACCGAGCGACAGCGAAGTCAATACGGCAAGGCCGAGGTTTGAGATTTTTCCGAAAAGACCGAACGTTCGAGGTTAATAAGTAGTTTATTATATGGCTTATTGCTTGGTTTTTGCTGGTCCGTAATCGGCCGGTGTGCATCACGGTACGGGAGAATAACGCCCTAGTATTAGCCAATCAGAGCGCGCGTTATATCGGCAACAAACGCACGTCATATAATAAAATTATGAGTAATCAACAGTCTGGAAATAAGAGTCTTTCCAAGGGACAGATTTCAATGAAATTTTTGCGACAGAGTCAAAATGGGGGCTTCATGCTTTTTGAGATTGACTTAACGTGAAGTTGATTTATTCAAGTTTGAACAAAATCGCTGACCATAGATTGTGCTCTGTTCATGGTTAACAATCAACATCAACTTTATTCATAACACTATTATAAGGCTTGAAAATGTTGATATAATAAAACAGCGCGAACAGACATCTTGCGTGGACCTTATGTTCATTGAATCGTTTTCTTTTTTGATTTGGTTGCCAATTAGCGCTATGTAAATTTATTATTATTATTATTATTATTATTATTATTATTATTATTAATTAGCCAAAGACCGGGCCTTCCTTCTTGATGGGTTTAACTTTTATCAAGAGACCATGATTTCGATCATGGTTTCTTGCTTTTATTTTACACTGCCGAGGGTAGTTTTATTTATTATTTAATTGATGCTACGAAAATTTCTTAGGAGTATGAACGAGATTACACATTAGAAGAAAATACACACACTCTTAAATTTTGAAGACACGTCTCGGATACTTCGTATCCATCATCAGTTTGAGGATGTTTACAAGTGTCAAAGACTAAATATACAAAAGGCGATAGAAAGTTACAATAGTAAAAATAACGTAGCTAATTACAAACAATATGTAAAAAGGTTACGTAATACCTGAGGTATATTATTAATTTTAAATTATTACTTTTATTATCATATTTTCCTGTTACATACCGCCATTTTCTTACAGGTGACAAGCGGTCCTTATCTCTAGTCTCACTTTGACGTTGCGAACGCAACAGTATAAACAAATGCAAGGCGAATTGATTTTAACTCTTTTACTTCCTATCTTTTAAGTCAGGCGTATCTTGGTTGTTAAAGCTTGCATTGAATGACTTTGGATTTGTCGTCATGTCTTTAATCTTTAATCTCTATTTATTCATGATGAAAATTCAGAGGCGGCGGTATGCCGAGGGCATAGCTGTACTCGTATTTTCCAAAATGTCTTTTGCGTTGTTCGTTTTCACAAACAAATTCCTTGCGATATCGGCGGTGTTCAATGTGCTCCCAATAGAGTTATGACAATGCAGGAGGAGGCAGTTGTTTAGATGATCCTTCTTCATGGTGCTTCTAAGCCTTCCGCAGTGCAGAACATGTACGTTCGAGGAAGTCGCCGATGCCACAAGTAATGTGAAATACAATCTAAACAGTTATTGGATCTCTCCAAGTAGCGCTTTGGTGAAAGGAGTTTTGCTTAGAACTTCACAAATTGTTCTTATATTTGTAACCTGACGTACTTCGGGCAGCTCAGCTTTAACTGCATTGAGGTGAAGCTGCTGACCAAGCTTGCCACAGTCTATATCAGTTTCAAAGCAAGACCTTTGCATCAAAACGTAGGGAGGTTGTGGCCCTCAAATTTTCGTTTTGGGGAGTACAGCACCCCTCCCTCTGCCCCCCTTGCCCCGCCGCCTATGAAATTCATCAGTCTGGGCCGGGTTGTTCAAAGCCCGATTAGGCAAGCCCAAGATTGGCGAGAATTTTGATTTAAGCTTTGTAAATTTTCTGGTTATATTGTTTGTACTTCAGTTTTGAGCTTGACTGGTCTTGAAACACTCGAAACATAAGAAGTGACAAAACATTTTTATACAAGAATAATTAATACTTTGTTCGGCTTTCGAGCAACCCGGCCTGATGATTTACAAATACAATGAATATGTTTATATCTAAACTAAAACTAATCTTATCATTACAATTCATTAAGTATATAATTAAAAGAATGTTGATATAATGAATATCTGCTATACACATGGTATGTTTGATTACTCAAGATCAAGGCAATGTTGAGGGACGATACACGATCCTATAGTTACTGTTACTGCTGCTGCTGACCGCAGCTTTTAACACTCAGGTAGCTCAAATAGAGACAAAGGAGTACCTCAGCCTTTGCTCTTCAGACCCAAAATCCTGAACAATTACATCTCAACGTTCTGATAAAAAAGGACCAGAAGTATTGGTTGGGATTAACGTTGAATAATGGTAAGGGTTTTTTTCCCCCTAAAATCAGCAAACCCTGAACCCAACGAGTGGCGCTTAATCACCATTCACAATTCGATTTCCCGGTATTGGTTTCCGTTGTGTCGCTAAACAAAAGGTTGAAGGAGTAAAACAATACCGTAATATATAAAAAATAAATAATACAACCAAAAAAGCCTCAAACTGTACAATAAGTGTTATTAGAATAAGGAACTACTGTACATCTTTCATTTCAAGGGTGATGCTCTTTCACTTAAAGGGTATTAAATGTGGCTTTCGGTTCTTTTTTATAATTTATTTAAAATATACGTTGTGGTTATGTCTGATGTTACGACTATGAATGTACGTTAATAATAGAGATTGTTGATCTGAAAGTCACGAAAGTAAGTCACGAACGTTGTCGACAACTAGCCACAAAGAAGACTGGACACTAGCGTATCAAAATATGCCGATCTAAGCACTTTTATTTCCGCTTTTCACCGTGAAAGCTCCTTTTTGCCAGCGAGGATTGTGAGGCATACACACGGCGTAAGTACATGTTGTAATAGAATATTTTTGTCTTGAAGTACTTCCATCGATTTTCTTCGCTACTTGAGCGGTGGCATTCGGTAATCAATATTAATTAACTACCATGATTTAGAAATTCAGTCACTCTATCCGCCATTTATTATTCTACTTTCGTCTTGTCTGCATGCGTTTCGCATCTGACGCGTTCATATCGGAAGACATACAAGCTCGATGAAGCGTCTGGATCAGCATAGCATTATATTATTACATTGTGAAGATTAAGTCTAATGGCGAAAATGGCATGGCACTACGGGTAACTGAGAGTTAATGTAGGATGACGGGTGCCTGGTTTATGGGTTAATTAACCCTTACGATTATTAAAATCTAACCACTGTCGAGTCAGTGATATTTAGGCTAACCTGGCGCACGCTATTTTGGCTAACTGGAGCGCTATTTGGGCTCAACGCAGAACCATTTCGCCATTTCACCATTTCGTGTTTTCCGCTGTGACCCGATCAGTTGATACAGTAACACGGAATGAATTGGTGTCGTTTCACTCTAACGTCCATTCGCCCAGACATGACTGTTAGTTAGGAGTATTGCGTGGGTAGAATTAGCGCTCTCAAAGAGCAAGGAATGAATGCATTATGTTTCAATCTTGGTGTGCAAAGAATGGCGAAGGGACTTTTAGTCTGAACGAGTCGCCTGTCGAGCGAATTGTCTTCTGTGCGAAACGACCTAGTGTGTCCATTTATTTAACAAGTAGAATACTCCTGATACTCGCTCTCACGCAGGTCTGCCCACGAGTCTTGGAACGTAAAAATGTCTGGGACGTTCAAAGCTACCTAATATATTAAAACTGCGAAGGATTTTAAGAAAGTCTGGGTTTTAAATTACGGTCGTTTCACCCGGAAGGCGATTCACCTGACGCCGCATACAATCGATTTTCGATTTACTGCCTAGTACATTAAGATAGTGAGACTGGGGATGAATTTCGGCGAAGGAAATCAATGAAATCTCTCAACCATGTTGCAGTCAAAACACTCACTAAATCATCAACAGTTCTGCACAAAAATTGAATTATTGAATTCATTCTTACAAAATTTGATTTCAGAACTCGTTTCTTAGTACTTCGTTCTTCAAATGAAGAGTTGAAAATTCAAACAAATCGTTTGCATATCAAGTGGTGAAATACGACACTTCTGCAATTTCAAATAGCGTAACGCTCAAATAACGCTGTGGCCTCCTCTGTTGACGCTCTTTGGGCTGGTCACGCAAACTTTCTTTCTTTGTGGTGAAGGAAGATTGGGTGACAAACCTAAAGAGCTTCTGCTTAGGAGGCTAATAACGTAGTGACAGAGTTTAATTTCATGATCCCTATTTAAACTTTCGTACAATATTTCTTCATATAGGGAACAGACAGAAAATGCCAATGGAGAGCAATGAAATCCCTCTCTACTAGGCTCTGTAGGTTAATTTTAGGTGGCGCTAAAAAATTTTTATCTGTTCGGTTATTCTAGGGGAACTTAAGTATTCTCGAATCTATTAGGGCTTTTTTGTCCATTTCCCGAAAACCTTAGGTCTCATTGCCTTTCCGAAAATGATAGCTGACCTTTTTTCGGTACCCAAAACGACATTTTTAACAATCCGAAAACAACAGACATAAGAAAATCAGAGGGGATTAAAGGCCTTCCGAACAGATAATTTACCGAAACGATCCGTTGGGTGCCCCTGATGCATATCAATACTGAATTTCCCAAAGACATTTTACTGTGAGTTTGTTTTTTCAAGCTGCTTGTAGTCAGGTCAACTCTCGGTGCGGCCAATTATAGTTGGGTGAATCACCTGTCAGACGAAATTCCACTTTGGTGAAATTATCGACCTTATTTTTCACTCAGATGTTCCTCAGTGTTGAGAAACTGTCATGTTACGTTGTAACAGTAACCCAGAAATCTATAAATACCTACTTTTGGCGCTATCCTGTTAGCTTTTAGGGCATTTTAAGTTGGAATCAAAGCGGCCATGAGCCATTCAACTTGGAAAAAGGGATCGTCTGGAAGCAGTGGCAGTTTTGGTGTTTTAATCTGCAGGTCATATATCATTTATATATCGAGCTAGTAACATAAACAAGACGAGTCCGAGGATTGTTAACATTGAAAACCAAGTTGTAGTTTATTACAATGCAAGAGGATTATTACAGTAGTTTGGTTCTATTAATTTAGAGCCATAGTCTTGTAGTAAGATCAAAACAAGTGGACAATCCACTTGTTTTGATCTAACTATAGGTGTATGAACAAGCAATGACATAACATGATGTATCGAGCTAGAAAGGCAATAAATGAAGTTAAAGCCCACTGGCATTGTTAAGAAACAGGAGCCCATGACTGTAAGAAATAATGCAAAATGCAAAACAGTAGGAGATTACTCAAGGAGATGTGACACCGTTTAAAACATATACAGGAACGGTCATCCTTGTCCGAGAAGTTACCACAAAGAAAGTAACGCTTTTATGCGATCATCAGCGCTTAGTGAGGCCCTTACTTAGCCAAGTTAGTCTGACTGGGTGCGTGACCAAGTAGTAGAATCTCTGTACAGCAGGTTCTCATTTTCTTTCCTATTTTAAGCGTAAAACCAGGACGTACACGTTAATTATAAACTCCCTTTAAGTGAAAACAAAAGTTAAGTAAAACTGTGTTACGTATTTTGTCAACTTTTTGACTGAATTCACGAATGAGCTGATCTACACTTCTCAAAAATCAGCAAATGTGTGGCAATCCACGCCCGCCCAACATTTCATCTGGCCTTAAAACCCAATATAAAAACATCACTTAATCACAAAACATGATGACAAGTCCAAATTCTTCATGTAACGCAAAAAATGAACGAAGCCCTGGAAGGATCAGGTGAATCTCTCATCCATACCTACAACTTATATGGATGAATCTAGTTTAATTGAAGAATTGGTATCATCATTTACGGGTGGAATGAATTTGGGCTACACGCAAAACCTCGTTGCCAAAAACTGTCAAGGAAAAATCCAGGCAACGAGTCTGTCACACGAGCAAAGTGAGAGTTAAATATCTTTTAGGGTTTCCTTTCATGATATCAGAGGGATACATCGTCAGCTTTTATATGGGAGCTCTACTTCTGGGCGCTGTTAACCAGGGTCACTTCAGAATGAAGTGTTGCTCGAAATGCCTGATCTTTCTCCCATGTCTGGTTACCTCTAACTAATTCTCTGTTGTAACATCTTGGAAATAAGTGACCAGCTTGTGCTGAATTTCGTTCAAGTGGAAGGAGGAACAGAAAGTGGTTACTTAACAATAATCTAGATTGTGTTTACTTTCACACTAATATTTTATAATTCGTTACATTTTTCAGTCTTCGACAAAGAAAAAGAATGGCCACTGCAAGTTGGGTGGCAGATCTTGACAAAAAGGAACACAAAAACTGGGTGATGGTTGGATGTGCCCTGAACATAGCCAAAAATGGAATTGCACCACTAATCCAAAGGAGGATGGAGGCTTGGTACCAATCCCTTATTTCCAGCCCACCTCTGCAGTCACTTCCTCCATGTACTTGTACACTTAGCCGTTCAAAGTGTGGTAGTTGCGTCACGTGGGAGATGGAACTTAAGCGTCTGCACAAGTCTGGACGACCAAAGATTTGCTGGGATAACAGTGATAGAAATCTATGGGGTTCTCCAACTGGGGCGTGGGAAATTGCCAAAATCTTTATGCCAACCCTTGGAATGCGGAAAACTCATGTCATTCACGCGGGGACCACAGATATCGGTGGCCTGTTGAACCTGTTAGAGTGGTGTCCTGTTATCCACCCTCCAGTATGTCGGACGGTTTTGACTTCGGTGCGGGACCAGTGCAGGAATCACTGGGCACATGATCCAAGGCAAGAACTTCAAGATGCAGATGTCATTACCATGTTTGGCCACCTTGAGAGCCTGCTAAAAGACCCAGTCTTCAGCTCTGACAAAGATGCCCAGGAGTCATTAAAAGATTTGCAAGACTTACAAAGAAACGGTCTGGTAAACGTCCTAGATTCTGAACTCAAGGCTCTTCGTTTACTCCGTCAGTCACTGGTTGCGGATGTGACCAAGAACCGAGATGATTTGGATGTGTTGACAAAGAAGGTGGCTGAAATCAAAGAGCGTGGCGATTTGAGCAGTGAAGAGATTGCCAAGTTAAGACAACAGCTGAATACTGAAGTAGTAAACCTTCAAGAGAAAATATCGACGGTCGTAAACACGGTTGAAGATTTCAATAGGCAACTTAATGAGCGAGATGATCTGCAAGGAGTCTGTGACCCTATCAGTGAGGATGTGGAATATTTGACAAGTGGCCTGCGGGACATTGTTATGGAACTAGCCACTATGAAATCTCGAGTGTCAAACTTAGAGATCAATCTCTCAAGTGTGAAATATGAAGTACAGAGAGTGGCTAACGACGTAGTTACAAACAAAACCGCAATTTCAGGTTTGCAAAAGGATTTCCTGGAAGTCAAAGAAGAAGTACAAACGTTGAAAGCAACACCCTTGCAGGAACATAGCATCGATGACAACGAGGCAATATACACTGCACCAGCAAGGTTGACAGCGTTCACGGGCCGCGATTCAGCCTTGGCATGGTTGGAACAAAATCTAACCCCATGTCATAGTGGTGAAAATTGTCCAGGAACGTCCTGTTGTACTAAGACCATATGTGGGCTTGGAGGATGTGGCAAGACTTCTCTGGCTGTAGAATTTGCTTGGAAATGTAAGAATCGTTTCCCAGGTGGAGTGCTCTGGATCAACGGTGAAAGTGATGAAAACATCCATGAATCAGTTGTAGAGAACCTTGCTCTTCTGAATATTAGTGCCTTGCCAAGTGAGAAAGTCGATGACACCCTAAGTAGCCTTTTGGCTTTACTATCCAAGAAGAAACATCCATGGCTTCTTGTAGTGGACAATGCAGATGAACTGGAAGATCGAACTTGTCCCACAGGAGTGAAGAAGATATGTAAAGGGCCTTGGCAACAAAATGGCAGCGTATCCAAGCATGGACACATACTGCTCACGACAAGGCAACCCGTGAAAGAGACAAAACCTTCTTGAAACTCTCAACTGATGATTGCCTGGAGTTGCAATGTTTCAGTGAAAAAGAGGGAGCATTGTTCCTAATGCAAAGGAACAGCAATAATAAAAAAGCCCTCTACCGGGAAGCAGTAAGTCTAGTGAATGAACTGGGAGCTCTTCCATTAGCTCTCGAACAAGCAGC